AAACTCTTTGAATTAAGCAATATTATCTGGCTCCAATGGTGTAGAAATTGGAACACAGAGAGTTAAATCATTTACCATGAATAATAGTTTTGCAAACGGTAGAATTGGAAAATAGTCATCCTGAAGTCCAGGAAACTTTCCAATACACAATTTTACCTCCTATATGACTCCCTCCAATTTGAGTTGTCACGTCAATTATTTTTTATAGAACTTATAAGCTCTACACAGACACTTTGACAATGTGAGGATAAAATCAAAATGCATTGATTTTAAAAATGTTAAGTCATTTTTAAAATGTCATGTATAAATATGATGTATTATTTGTAGATACTGTATATTCACCTTTTTTTTTTTTTTTTGAGATGGAGTCTCATTCTGTTGCCCAGGCTGGAGTGCCGTTGCACCATCTCAGCTCACTACAACCTCCACCTCTCAGGTTCAAGCAAGCAATTCTCCTGCCTCAGCCTCCTGAGTAGCTGGGACTACAGGCAAATGCTGCCATGCCCAGCTAATTTTTTGTATTTAAGTAGAGACAGAGTTTCACTGCGCTGCCCAGTCTGGTCTGGAACTCCTGAGCTCAGGCAATCCACCTGCTTCGGATTCCCAAAGTACTAGGATTACAGGTGTAAGCCACCACACCTGGCCTGGGTATTCACCTTTATAGTTATCTATACCATAACCTATGCCCATGAGAAGAAACACACAGACACAGACACACACATATATACACATATATAAACCACAAGTCAGTAATAAAAGCTAATCCTTCTATTTGCTATAGTACCATACCAGGTGTTTCACAGACAATAGTTATTCTAATCTTCTCTTCCATATTATATAGTTTAACTTATAACCATAATCTTTATTTTAGAGTTGAGGAAAGTAAGATTTAAATAGGCAATTGTATTTTGAATTCACATAGGGTCAGTTTAAGATTAAAACACATCTCCCTGACTCCAGGGTCAATGTTCTTCCACACTAATATATGAATACTATTGCAGTAAATTACTGTTGTCTAAACAATACTAATATTCAAAATTATGTGCAGATTTTTTCTTAATAATTACATCAAGTTCAACCTCTTCTAATTTGTAATTATCACCGGCATATTTTGTAAATTGGAAACTTTAGCATCTCAAATATTTTGGAAAAGATCACAGATATTTTCTGTTTTTCTGAGATTTCAAAAAAAAATCAAGAATAATGACTTTCTGTTTATATCTGCAACTATATTTTAGTAATAATTTGGAATATGTCCTTCTGAAGGTTTAAATTTACTCAAAATGCTTATTTGTTTTTTAGTATGTCTTATCTAGCTTAGGTATAATGCTTCTGACTTTATTTTTCTCTCTAATTTGTTATTTCTACTTTATTCATAGGGAAAATATGGAAGGAAAATGGGAGTTAGAAAAGTTCTCACATTCTCTGTTTTCATTCATTATGAAAATATTCAACTATAGGCTTGACCTTTTTTTGCTCCCTACTTATAACCATAGTTGGAAGAAAATTATGAGAAGGGACATTTCTTTTGTTCTGCTGTAAAAGCTCAGCACAGACTTTCCTATTAATTCTGTTGACCTATCTTCTAAGCTCCAAACCTAGGTTCTGAAGAGTGTTCACCAACACCCAGACCTAAGCTCATCATTGTTCCTTGTCTAAACCTGCTGATTTCGTGGAAAGGACTGCTGAAGGAATGTGTTTTCATTTTAACTGTATTCCTTCCATAGGTTATTGTTTTCTAAATGTTTTGTGTCACATAATGGATAAACACTTTAAAACTTCTTCAGACAATCTTACATCAGAAAAATATTATACTAGTTACGTCATCAACAGTAAAATTGTTTCTTCCTTTTCTTTGGGATATATTACTTCACTTGCCTGGTTTCTGGCACTGGTTTTGCTTGAGTTCTGTCTCCTCAGGTTTTCCTCCTTTGGGCTTTCTTCCTAGACTATTGTTCGTGTTGCCAGCCATTTTCTGAACTCTTTATCCTCTACACTTAATTTTGAAACAAGTAATTTGTGCGAGCAGATCTGTGTAACTTCAGAACACATTTAAGATATAGCATTCCCACCATACAGATACAATAGTCATATATAGCTATGGAACATGGGGAATGGTATAGTATAGTCAACAGAACGTTATGAGGTTGGAGTATGCATTATTTGTTTTAAATATAATTTTAATTTTACATTAAATGTAATTTAATTTTAATAATGGCTGTATTTGACATGAAGTTGGCCAAATTCCTGAAAGTTTAATAATTGGCTACTGCAAGCAAATGCCGGTTGTTTCTAGCATTTTACTAGAATATAATAAATCCTGACTTTGCTACGGGCTTTCCTGATGTGTCATTTGACCTCTCTAAGCTATGAGTTTATTATTCAGCATGAATTAGACAAAATAACAGATGTAAAGCTCTTAGAACAATATTCAGAATATGGTAATTACTCACTGGTAGATATTGCTGCGTTTCTATTGTAAGAAACATATTTAAAGTATACCAAGAAAATACAGAATCCACATAAACTTTTAATTGGCATGTTGTAACTATAATGACAAAATTTAAATCTGCTGTCTTATTTCAAAATATTATATTAAAATGTTTTTTAAATTAATTTTTACTTATTGACATATTTTCATCTCTGTAAATATACTATCCAGGAATGCTTTTCCTTTCTGTCTTAGTATTGTTATGCTGCTGTAAGAGAATACCACAAAGAGTGATTTATAAGAAGTTGAGGTTTATTTGGCTTTTGGTTCTAAAGACTCTCGGGAGCCCAGGGTTGAGGCTCCTGCATCTTTTAAGGGCCATCTTGTGGTGTCATCCTATGGTGGAAAGAAGGACACAAGAGCATGAGAGAGAAAGAGAGAGCAAGAAGGGGTTGAACTCATTTTTATAACAAATCCATTCTCATAGAACCAAATCCAGTCACTCACAATGGACATTAATTCATGCTCGAGGGCAGAGCCCACATGAGCTAATCACGAGTTAAGGGTCCCACCTCTCAACACTTTTGCTTTGGGGATTAAGTTCCCCACACATGAACTTTGGGGGACACATTCAAACCGTAGCACTTATGAATAACATTTATGGATTTATTTTCTAAATAGTCATTTTAAAATATAATTACTAAGATGAAGATTCCAAATTATAGTATAATATGTAGAACACTTTAAAACTTTAAATGGGAAAAATAATTCCTATTCATAGCTTTCCGTTTTGCGAAACTACTTTCTTTGTATCATATAATAAATATATGTTTTCCAACCTCCTTTCTCTGCCCTCCAGTATTAAGTCTGAAGAGAGTTTATTATTCATTCACATGTTCGAAGGTAGCTGTTTCTACCTTAATCGAGCCAAAGTTGTCAACTTTTCAAACAGTAACTTGTTTTCTATGCCCTTAGGTTTGAAAGAAAATAGTCTCATAATGAAAAATAGTAAGCTTACTTTCTGAATACATAAATGTCCTGATTCTTTATCAGGCTATGCTCTGTTACCTGACTGTAGATGCTGGGATAGTCTTCTAACAATAGGAAATGGAGTTTGTGGATAAATATGCCATAAATAAAAATATTTGCTATTTCCCATTGGATTTTTACAGCCTCAAAATTGAGCTCTTTAAACTTGGAGATACTACTCTCATCTGAAATTGTTTTAAATTGTAAATAAAAGTAAATGAATTCAAATGTGATACAAGGAAGAGAAAATGATTTTATGACTATTCAATTCAAAATATTTTGAGTCATTTATAACCAAATATGTGGTTTAGATAATAAGTAGATTCAGACTGTGACAGACGTCTGACAGATATATTTCTTTAATAATTTGACTTCATGTTACTAACCACAGAGTACTAATACTGATTAAAAACAATACCAGGGCAATACCAGATTAATTGATTCTAACTTTTTAAAAGAATTCTTTCAATGATTCATTCATATGAGTTGAAAAGAAGGAGAAAATTGAGAGTTATTTTTATGAAACTAGAGTCAAGACCGTAACATTTTAACTGCCTCTGAATATGTCTTAAGATACGTAGATATCATTTTATTAAAGTAGAAATATAGGAACAGATATAAGGTATTTCATATTGAACTGTGCTTAATGATCTATTTTCATGGCATTCCTTTGGGTAATCAGCAATTTTATTGCTTTAATATTGTAGAAGTGCTGGATTATTTTTGAAGGAGAAATAGAGGGGAAAGCCAACATCGGATCAATGACTTGACATTGCTAGTCAACTTAAAGCATGAAAACATCCATTTAAAAATCTAACTAGCAGCTCTTCATCAGCAATCAACAGCAGTAATCTAATTATGTTGAGAAATCTTCCAATGTGTTAGAGAATTTCTCTTCATCAAGGAATGTGCATGGGGATTTAACATTATAACCTAGACAAAGACCCGATGAGAATAATACATTTAGAGAAAGGTATATTGAGTTATCTTTTCCAAAGCGTTATGACTAAGTTACAAACATATACCCTCATTCTAAATTCTGTATCTAGGGTGAAGCTGAAAGATTGGTAACAAAGTAGTTTGAAGTAAAGACACATTTCTCTACATAGCAGGATTTTTAATTACCTTATCACTCCCAGCGTAACTCCCATGAGAAACGGTGGGTAAAATATGAGAGCTTTTGCAGGTAGATAGCATCTGAAATGTGGTTTTGTCTGGTTACAGTTGGCATTGAAGGATCTCCCTTCACCTCTTCTTTGCTGTTTTTAAACATGCAAGGCACACTCGTTAATTTAAAAAGGCATTTTCACTTTTCTCTACCATAAAAACTCCTCTCTATGCCACTGCCTTGTATCCTTCAGATAGTTACTCAAATGTGATTCTCCCAGAGAAGGAACTCACCATATTTGAGACTGCCATTTTTACTTAGTTTTGTTCTTCTTATCTCCCATCATGCAATGTGTTTTACTTATTTATTTTATTATATTATTTTCCCTTTACAATATAGAAGGTAAGTTCCATGATGGCAGGAACATTTTTTTTTTAAACTGCTTTCCCAGTGCTTAGAGCAATGTCTGGTATACAATATGTTAAAAATTAGTTTAATTAATTAGTAATATGCATGGTAAAAGCTGAGGAGCTCATTATTGGCCATAGACAAAAACTGACCCTAAATAGAGTTTATTAATAATGGCAATAATCAATTTGAGATTTTTAGATAACTGTAATCAATGGTTTACAATATTTTCTTGGAAGTAGGCAGAATACATTTATCTTACAATTCAAATGTCCTAATTCTTATTATCAATTAAATTTATTTTCGCTCATTTCATTCATTCATTTGTAAAGTCGTATATTGAAAGAATATGTAAAACTCCTACAACTTATTAGGCACTAAGCAAATGCCATGGATATGTTGAAGTGTATGACTAGTAAAAGAAATAATATGTTTCAAATAAGCTTAGAAAAATACGAACTTACTTATGCTACCAATACACTTTATTAAAATGTATAAGGTGATCTGGCTTAGTCTGGAATATCAGGGAAGGATTTCCTGAGGAAATGATGACTGAACCGATGTCTGACGATGAACTGGTTTCTAGGTAAAGCAAAATGGCAGAGGAGGATGTGTCAGCCAGGGGAAAAGTCATGTGCAAAAACATTGTGGCAATTTGGAGAAACTTGATGTATTGCATTCATTCCCAAAATACAAACAATTTTATTTAGTTTAAACTATATTTGGATTAAGGTGCTTTTCATTAGGATTTACCTAATGTGACACACTTGTAATATTTATCAAGTTTTTTTTTTTTTTTACCAAACTGAACAATGGGTGACTCTTCCTTGAAAAATGAAAAGCTTAAATACTGATAGTCTTATTATGATTGTCCACAAATTGAATATATTGTCCACAAATTCATATTTTTACAAACTGAAGAATTTACTACTTTAATAAATGTTTCTTTGTGTATGTTATAAAAATCCAGTGTAAGCAAAAACATCATAAATTTATAAAGTGTATATTTGTAATGCACACCTACATATATACTCTCACTTGAAATTCAAAAAACATACAAACAGCTGACTGAATCCCCTATTACTAATCAAGAACAAGAAGCCTAATACATTCAGGTTTATGGCTTCAAGCCTGGTGATTTATCTCTATTATGTTTCCAGAATTACTTGCCATCATGAAGAAAATTAAAATTAAGCAAAATCAATAAAACTATGTTCTATGAGGGGAGAACTATTAAGATGTAAAGTAAATTTTTTTATTACTCTATAATGCTCTCAGTTTTGATTACATTAAAATTCTTCTTGAATTACTTCATAAATATATTATTTATTACTAGCTTGTAAGAAATCATTCCTCAAATTATAGAGTGAAACAAAAGTGCTATCTAATTTCACATTTAGAAAATAATCTATAGCAACAAAAATCTAATGAAGGGCCTCAACCTTAACAAACACACTAAAGTAAAATATAATATTGATTGGATTAGAAATTAAAAACTAAAGAATACTAGAAATATTGCCATATAATGAATGAAATTAACACAAAACCTCAGGAAAAAATTTTAAAGACAATAATAAAAATTAAACCCAGTATTATAATAATAATAAATAATTTGAATATTTCACTCTACACCCCATTAAGGTAACCAGACAGAACACCAACTATCGCAGAATTATTTTTAGTTATTCATTTTCACTGCAACTTTGATATCAAGTTAACATCATCTTGAGAATTAGCTATTTACTTTTTTACTTGAAAAAAAATAAAAAGGAAAAGTATGTTCTATAACAGTTTTTAGAAGGAATACATATTACACCAATAAACAAAGTAAATTAATCAATAATTAGTCTCAAATGATGAAGAATTAGTACTCCTATAATTGTACCAACATAAATCTGAATATCTGTGGAAATAGTGTTTAAAAAGTGACTCACAAACTCTAGGTGCCTTCTACTAGGATCTCTTGGTTAATTTTACGAACATATATTTGTTTTGTTTAGCTAACTTAACATTTCCCTATCTCTTGTGTACTGAATCAGAGATCATTCCACTCCTGCTTGGGAATTCTCTATGTTCCATGTGACAGAAAGACAATCAACAGACACATGGCATTAACAATTCTCAATTTTACTCCCTGTTTCTTTTGAGGCCAAATCAATGCAAACCATCTGTGTCTAGTAGAAAATGAATGTTTATAATTTCCTTCTTCTTGAAACCTCTTCAGTTTATATTTCTGTTTTTTTGAGTTTTATCTTTGTTGTTGTCACTTTTAGAAATGTTTCAAAATCACAATAAATGTATTATTTGTAAAACTGTTTTTATATTACATTGTAATCCATAGTATCATTTACAGGCAAAATAATGGTATTTCATGACACAGGTTCCTGGGGAAAAAAGAAGCATCATCTTCATCTATAAATAGATGTTTTTCAAGTATCCTAGAGCTTGGAATCATCTATTCTGCCTAAAACCTTCCAGAATTTTATTTGCTTCTTACAATTGCCTTAAAAATTTTACTCCTAAACCAGTCTCTGAATTTATTGACCTGAGATGAAATATTTGAAAAGGGAATCAGTCCTATTGATGCATTCAGTAATAAAATTCATCATTACTTTATAAAATGGGATATTCAGGATATTGTCAGAATATTCAGAGTTAAATTAAGAATTAAGGAAAATCTTAATTTTACTTTAGTTATTTATGGTCTGGTTTGTCACCATATCCATCTGAGGAAAAAATAAAATATATGCATTTCTGTATACATTCTAGATGTATGTCATAGTCTAGACATTCTGTGTTTCATAAAGAGATAAAGCGTTCATATTTTGTACATGGTCATACCCACCATTCCTAAAACATTCTGTTTAAACACTAGTTTTATTTTATTAGTTGCCCTTTTAAATTTCATGGCTAATACGTATGCCATCATGCTATCTTGCCCCATGTTCCAAAACCTATGAAGCTGGCCATGATGTAGTGAGATAAAACTTTGAGTGATTTCTGATTTCCCACCAACCCTCATGTAAACCTAGCAAACAGAAATAATTCAAATATCTGGTTCGCATTGTTTGTTCAAGGCATAAAAAGCTCACAGTTAATCAGAACAAATTAACGTTCTCATTGCCCCTCATCCCACACATATCTATAAATTTGGCTAAAGGAAAAGAGAAAGAAAATCTCATATCTAAACATTGACTGCTTCTAAGTGCTTCTGCCCCAAATATAAATTTCATAAAAATTTTTACATGAAGCATATTTCTTCAGTGAGTATACACATGAAACAAATTATTAAAAATGATTATTGCCATGAGTGACCCATGAATTCAGACTTTCTTGCTTGTGTTTTTCAATTTTCCATTTTGAACTGGGAAGGTTAATTGCTATTAACCTTTCATGTTTCTTGTTACACAATCACTCTGATTGAAACACCATATGAAGCTTTAGAATCTAGCAGTGTCTGGTTAAAAGTCAATGTCATCTAAAGAGATGAATGATTAGCAGTTGATCTTGAGCAAGATTGCTTCCTGAATGGAAAATATGTAAGAGTGAATTCAATCTCTAATTTGAATCATGCTGTATGTTAAAACGATGTGTGAGTTTTTGCTTTGCTATGATTTTATGTTTGTTCTTATATTACTTGAAACATTAATTTCCAGACATAAATATGGGTTTTACTGTACTAATCAATGACAAAGTAAATTTTTCTGAAAGGATTTATTATCAAAATACCTTAATATATTTTAGAACACAGAAGTCTGATTCAATAATTTGTTAGAATTTGGAAGCATCATGGTAGAAAGCAATATACATAATATAAATTAGTCATAAGTTTTGAACCAGAAGGCATTTTCCAAATCCTCTAACCTATTTTCTTTTGTCATAGAAACAGAATAAGAGATACAGGGAGCATAAGTGAGCTGTCCAAGGTCATAAAGTGTTGTAATGGCAGAACCAGAATGACACCCATCTCTCCTGCCTCTACCCCTAACTTGTCAGGACCAGGTGTCAAAATTTGAATAGCATGTACATTAACTCAGTCGTTCCCAGGTGTTGAAACTTTGTGTATCTCTTAAATTAAAAATAAATAAGTAAAATCTGTGTAATTGGCATTGGGTTTTCAGAGCTATGTTTCACCTAAGAAAAAACTCCGAAATAAAACTATCAAAAAAGAAAAAAAACCTATCATCTTTTGGTTATCCCATAATAGATGTTTTATTACTACCCGAAAAGAAAATAGGGATTACTTAATAGCAAAGAAAATCCCTTTATATTTAATAAATATTCTTAAAAAATCTCAAAACCTGCCAACACTAGTTCATCTAACATTTGAGAACTGCTGTTCTAAATCATATGGTCTTGAAAAGACCCAGTAAAAAATGCTGGGCAGGTGTCCATATTTTAGAGATGAAAAAAAAAAAAAAAAAAAAAAAAAAGGTTTGCTACAAGTCATCCAAGGTCACAGGGCAAGAAAATAACAGTGAAACGCGTGGAAATGACAGAGTTCCAGCCAAAATGGAATGTTTTTTCCCAATTAGCAAACATCCTCACATAAGAGGGAAAAGAAAATTGTTTCCTCATTTTAAGAGAAAATTTTTAAAATCAGTAAAAATATAACTTGAAAATGCAAGCATACATAAAATAATCTTGCTAGTTAAGAGCATATACAATTCATTGAACCACATTTTCTTGATGAAAAAGAAATGTGCTATTATAGGCCATTTTAAATCAAATTTACTTCTTTTATGCTGAAAAAGAAAAAATATTTAAAATCAAGATATTGTTAAGAGAAAAGGCAGCTGTTTATACAGTTCTATTCAAACAACTTTCTATAAAAATGCTTCTTTTCTGAAGCCAGAGAAAATAACAGAAGAATGATATTAAATACAGAAACTTACATTTATTTTAGATTCATAATTATGTACTGATACAAATGCCATTTTATCTCTTCAGTGCTTCAGCACTAGAACAAAACAACTAAAAAGGTACTAATTGTCATATGGCTTACTTTCTACATTTATATTTACAATTACTGAGTTATGTCACTTTACTAGTTGAGAATAGTTTCCTTCTGAATAAGCCAAAGTTTCTCATGGGCTTATTCATCCATTCAGTCAATAAATACTTATCAATCCCCTACTGTTATCCAGACAGGAGTGATAAAGCCATTGATAAACCAGTCAGAACTACCTGCTCGGCCTTTCATTGTAGTAAGGAAAGACAGACACTGAACAACAAAAACAAATATATACAATTTTTTTTTCTCGTGGAGTATAAGTGGTATGAGGAACAACAATTAGGAAAGCGTACCTGAATTGCTGAGAGATTGGGAGGTGAAGGGGTTATCATTGCTAAGGTTGTGATTTTGGAATGAAATTTTGAGGAAGGTAAAGTAAAGAATGCTGCGGAAAAAATGTGTAGTCGGAAAAAACAGAAGCAGCAGACTCTGTGGCAAGATTGTGCTTAGTATGTTTAAGGAAATGACAAATAGTTCAGTGTGGTTGTATTATGAGTGAACAAGAGGTAATCACTAAGGAATAACAAGGCAAAATTTAATGAGGGTCTAATAAGTTCCTACAGACCTCTTAGTGCTTATTCTGGATGAGATGGAAAGGCAGTGGAAGATTTGGAATACAAGAGGAACATGACTTAGATTTTCACAATATCACTCTGGAAGTTGTGTTGAGTAAAATAAAGAATATGAGAACAAAATAGTAAAGCAAAGGAGGACCCCTCAAATTTTGATATGAGCACCTATATGTAAAGTTGTTACATATTAAGATGAAGGAAGCTGCAGGTGGAATTGTTTGGGAAAGAAGATTAGAATTTGATTTTAGACATATCAAGTTTAAGATGGCTACTGGACATTTAGATGGAAATATTAAATAAAATCTTGGATGTATAAGTTCATAAAAGAAGCACATACTGGAGATAAATTTTATGAGTCATTTTCACTTAATTAAATGATTGATACTGGATGAAATCCCAAGGGAGATGGACAGAAGAAGAGGTTATCTCCAGTCTGTGCTCTTGGACATTCTAACGTTTGCAGGAGACTAAGATAAGATTGAAGCATCAAAGGAGAATGAGAATGAGCCATCAGTGAGGGAAGTAAATAACCAGAAAAATGAGGTGTCACAGAAACTGTTTCAAGGAGTAAGAAAGATTAACTGGATCAAATACCGTTGCTAGGTCAAATATAAGAAACACTAAGAATTGCAAATAGGATTTAGCTGTGTGAAGGCCACAGGTAAGTTTGACAAGAGAAATTGCAGTGATGCTGTAAGTTGAAGAGAAAATGAGAGGAGAGGCATTAAAGATAGTGAGTTTAGCACCTTTGAGGAGTTTTGATGACAAAGTTACAGGAATAGATTAATATTTGGCAAGTGAGGTGAGTTCAAGAGACACATGTAAAAAACAACAGCATGTCTAAAGCTCTAGGAATAAGGCAATAAGAAAAAAATGTACTAAAGAGAGAGGATAACATGTGATGATGTCCAACAGTACCTGGAGGAGAGAATTGCTACAGTGGTGCCCTAGAAGCGATGAGAAGGGATCTAGGACGTATGTAGCAAAGAGCAGGAACCTGAAATTTAAATTGCAAACCATTCATTCACTAGGAGGAAGGATGATTATGCATGGACATGGATTCAAGATGGGAGGAGAGGGGGTGGTGGTGGCTTATGGTAGTTCCCTTCTGATTGATTCCACAGTCTAAGGGATTTGGAAGCAAGGTTGTCTGCTAAAAGATTATCTACCTAATGCCATTATTATAGAATAGGACACCTTTCTCCCTCTTGCATATGATTATCACATATTCATTCAATATATAGTTACAGAAGTAGCTAGTAGGACAATTATAGTGACCAAGACAGACGTTCTTGTCTTCGTGGAGTTTCACGGAGCATCTGAAAAAGGAATTAAACATGTAATTACACAAATAAACCACTGAAAGCCCTATAGTTGCAAAAATTCAGAGTTTTTAGTCTGGTTAGGGGAATTGAGAAGGATTTTCTCTCACACAGAGACACTTAGGAGACAACACTGAAACTGCAGGGGAGTAAAGTTGTGCATACAGGGAGAGTCCAAGAAGAGAAAGTATGAAGACCTTGAGAGGAGAAACAGCTTGACGTCAATGAGAAACGGAAAAAGCGGAGCCACAGACTCTAATGAGAAAGTGAGGAAGAAACAGAAGATGTGGCTGAAGAGAAACTTGGGGGAAGTACATGAAGCCCATTGCAAATATTCTGTTGTCCAAAAGCTTTAGCAAAGATTTTCAAATGGAAGACTAGCTTGAACATTCTCACTTAAGCAACTACCTTGTTGAATTCCTTTCTAACAATGGCAATATTATTCAACATGGTGTTCGGTGATAATATTACATAATTTTCTTTTGGATTTTGCACACTTAAAAATTCCAAATGGTGTTTTATGATTTCCTAAGGCAATAACTAAAATACTTTTATATTATGCATGGATTATAAGAGTCATCAGCAATTTAGTACTAAATGTGTATGCTGGCCTTGCCACTGTTTATGATTCATTTTGGATTTGTTTTGAAATAAGTGCCCCGCCTTCCACAGAAAGTTTGATACAGATAAAAAAGTAGCCCGGGCGCGGTGGCTCACACCTGTAATCTCAGCCTTTTGGAGGCCAAGGCGGGTGGATCACGAGGTCAAGAGTTCAAGACCATCCTGGTCAACATGGTGAAACCCCGTCTCTACTAAAAATACAAAAAATTAGCTGGGCATGGTGGCGCGTGCCGGTAATCCCAGCTACTCAGGAGGCTGAGGCAGGAGAATTGCCTGAACCCAGGAGGCAGAGGTTGCGGTGAGCCGAGATTGCGCCATTGCACTCCAGCCTGGGTAACAAGAGCGAAACTTCGTCTCAAAATAAAATAAAATGAAAAATAAAAAATAAAAAAATAGATAAGTAGATAGATAGACACAGAGATAAGTAGATATTCATGTATATATGATTTATCTATCCATCATTCTTTTTGGAATTCAAGGCTTTTTTTCTTTTTTATACAAATATAAAGTCTTTATGTATACATAAACTTCTCTTGATTTGAATTTCTTGATTAAGCATTCAGGTACATGCAATTTTTTCCATTGATCTCACTTCTGTTCTCAAACTGTTACAATTGCATATTTTACAAATTGTGTTCCCTTTTACAATGTGTATTTAGTAAGTGATTTTTCAGATGATGAGGTAATGGTCATAATACCTTCTCACTTTACTGAAACCAAGTCTATATTATAAAATAATAAGTTAATATAAAATTGACCCTGATTTCATAGTTTCAAAGATATTTTTCTTTTTGAATTTCAAATATCCAGCAGACTCATTTTTTTGACAAGTAGCACTTATTATAAAGAACCTCAGGGTCATTATGTGTGAGCTACAGTATTATGCAAAAATGAGAACTATTATTGATATTTCTGAATATTTTAAATTTTCTTTGTCCAGCAGTGACCCATGTACTAACATTACTGTCAATTTGTCAAAACAGATAACTATTTTCAAGAAAATAAAATCAAGATACTAATTATGAAATGATATCTCACAAAAACAGTGCTAATATTGTATAATAAACCTATGTTATAAAATCACTTGCTCTAGTATCTCTTACAAAGCAAAAACAAAAACAAGCAATGGATACACACAAAGATGCACATAAATCACAATTCCTTTGACTTCAACGTTCAATTAAGCTTGAATTCTTCTCTTAACTACATTTTAACATCCCATTTCCATATGATGTTTTATAGTGCTTAATAATAATTTCTGGCATGAGCAGTCATTGCTCCTGAAATTATGTACTTGACATAATAAAAATCAAAATTCAAGATTCTTTTAAAAATTCTTTGTATCAACTACAACATGGACTAAATAACTTCTGTTATATCCCTGTCATTTACTATTTCAGAATTTTTAATTTCTCAAGGAAATAAATTCTATCTTTGATTTAGTAACTTGTCACATTTAGTATAAATTTGTCTTCCTGTTAGTTTCTTTTCATTAGTACTAGTTTTCACACTTGGCAAAACATAATGGTTTGTTTATAGTTCTCATCTGGTTTGAACTGAACTGAAAATCAAAATACTATTAAGCTAATTGTAAATGTAAGTGATATAAATGCTACTAAATGCTAAGAGGTTAAACAGAGGCATATTTTAAGAGGGTTTATGAAAAAGAAAAGCTTGGGTGATGTTCAGTAGCAAAGTATGGAGTATGTCCTAAGAAGAAGAAATGGCATCAACTGCACAGAAGAACGCACATAAGAAAGATGTTGTTATGCCCAGGGACAGTGGACAGCCCAGTTGGACTAAAATGTTGAGTATGCACAGACGTATAATGGGGCAATATGCTGGAAAGGTAAGTTAAGGAAATATCCTAGAGGAATAGGAATATGTGACTTAAACTTTTGAATTTCATTTAGTACAAGGTATAAACCTTTTGAAAAAATTATAACATGGTATTTATATATTAAAAGAAATCTTTTTGAATATTAATCTTAAGCCAATACAAAGAAGAAATGAATTTGAAAAAGAAAAAAAAGTCATAGAACATTGTTATCAGTCAGTGATAAAATAATGCTCGAACTGAGATGGTAGGAACAGGAATAGACAGGAGCTGATGATTATGTTTTTAAAAAATAAACATTAAGTGCTAAGCACCGGAGTAATCTTTTATCTGCAATCTCTCCAATAATGTCGTAGTAGAGGAACTCTAAGAATCCCTGCTATACAATGAGAAAAATGATCTTCAAAAGCTAAATAACAAGCTCAAGACCATACAAGTAGTGAACAATAGGGAAGCAGGGCTATCAATCTTCCACTCTCTTAAAGGAGGCACACCCAAGGCGCATTCTTCAGCTCTTTGGTTTTTTATTTTTAAGTTCTTTAGAAGGTTCATTTACTGAATACCTGAGTCATTTATATAATACCCAGCCAGATCCATGTTTCTAACCATATCTTCTCACTCAAGTTGAAATTTTGAATGAATCAACTTTCTCCTGGAAAATTCATCTTAGATTTTCACATCATCCTGAAACTCTAAGCAAAGTTTCTCTCACTGAACATTGGTTTGTTATGTTCTGTCAGTTGAGAATTATTTAACTTCTTGTATTTCTTTTATTGCACTGAATACAAATCAGCCAATCTACTGTGCAATCAGTAAATTGTGTTACATCTCTTATCTGTGGTTGGGTTGGATATTTAAGTGATTAAATTTATAGTATGTTTGCCTTTTATATTCTATTGTAAACAATTCTTGATAAAAGGTAGAATAAAAACGATTAGATGAGTTTATAAGTGCCTCCCAGAACGCCTTCCTGCTGCTACACAAATAACTCTGTATCCAAACTTTGTTCCGTTTCCCTGAAATCTTATTATTGTTTGACTCATTTAGGCTTCAAAATTACAGCAATGTATGACTGTTTTCTGACCATATGCAGGGGCAGTCTTGCTAATTTTTCTTTTATTTCTTGAGTTTCTCTCCTTTTGCCTATTTCCATGAAAACTGTACAATTTTATTTCTGGGCCTCACAAATTCCATTTTATTTTACTAATTTTATCACTTTTTACAACCTATATTATACATTTGCCCTACATTTTCCTGAGTACATTCAGTAGAGTAAGTTAAAAACGAATAGGTACCTAATAACTAAAGATAAATTTATTTACTTTAGATTTATCTTTACAACAGTTCCACTCCAAATTCTCTTTTTCAATAAATATGATCTGCACATTATTTCTGAAGTTTTCTTCCATTCCCCGTCCCAGCTCTACAGCTCTGTTTAACTAATCATTATATGTAATGCTATCTAATTTTATTTTGAAGTACAGCTCAGGCCACTATGCAAACTCTTGGCAGTGTCTTCTTTAACATTTTAAAGCCTAATAGGACTCATAACACTCATTCGGCACCTCATTGTTTATCACTTGTATTGAAGCTTTTGATTTTACCTGTGTTCTTTTCTTCCAAACTATATCATAAATGCTTTGAGGGCACACATATTATATTATTCCTCTTTCAAGTCATCTTGCCATGCATGAAGCCTTATAACCATATTAAATATATTTTGTTTATAGGGATACTGCATGATCTTTTCTAAAGTACATAGTTTTTTCAGAGACCATGTAAGAAATGTTCTTACAGCTGATGTTGTTTTGTGTGTGTGTGTGTGTGTTGGTAGTTATAGGGAAAGTCACAATGTTTTAAAAACCATTGTAAAATGTTTTGTAGATGAATATTAAGTATATGTATTTTGTATCTTGGAAATGTTTCTGGCTTAATTTAGACAGGTTTAAAATTCCAATTATGGAATATTACAAATCAATGTAAGACAATACTGATCTATGATTTTGGCTTCTCCACAATTAAAAAATAGTTCACAGATTTGCAAAGGGATCAAGCTTTAGAACAATTGTATAGCTTATTAATACATAATTATGAGACAATCCTTCAATGAAAAGAGTTGCATATACTGATGACTTTAGGATATCAGGACTAAGAAATATCTTTTCATTTAAAATAATAAGAGGCAATGGTGTTTTACCAGAGCAGCAGAGTAGCATGCATGTAGCTTGCACTTTTCTGTGATAGCAGTCTCTTCCACAAATGCCCAGTTGCTAATCACTTCAATAAATCTGTTATGAGAACCTAGATACATGGATAATCTTACACTATTGATAGCCTTTCCATAGAACGGATGAATTGCTTTGAGTACACTGTAATAGTGGATCAGCGACTCTGTGAAAACAGTCTTAAAAAGTGAAAATGTTTAAAGAAAACATCTTTGAAAATGTTTTTATTAATCATGAAAATAGCACAATACGAGACGCAATATTCTTCAAATGAGATTCAATGGGTCTATATTCAGCTGCATATTATGGTAAAATAAAAAATATGTTATGATAAAATATGGTAAAATTTATTTTTGAAGAAATAAAATTTGTATTTTTCTTATATTTAATTTTATATATTTCCTGCAGAAATATTTTCTTATTTCCACGTTTTTAAGATTTTAGCTTTTAATACAGAAGATCTTATAGTACATTTACTAAACTAGCAATAGTCTCTAAATTTATTGACTACCAATTTTTTTTCAGTTATCAAAAAATAATTAAGATTTTAGTTTTAGGAGAATTAATTTTACTGAAGTAGATACCTGGATATTGTTAAAGTCTGCAATATTTGGTATTCTCACAAATAGTGCAAATGGGTTCTAATATCTCTACATTCTTACCAAGACTGGTCTTTTTTTAAAAAATAAAATAGCTATTTTAACTGTCTTCTATGGACAGATATTTGTTCAAGTACTTTGTCTACTTTTAGTTGGGTTATTAGGTTTATTTCTGCTATTGAGTTTAGAAATTCCTTATATAGTTTTGGAATGAACTCCTTATTAGATTTATTATTTGCAAATGTTTTTCCTATTCCATAGGTTGCCTTTACTTTACTCATTGTTTCCTTTGTTGTGCAGAGCTTTTTAATTTAATGTAGTCCGAACTACATTATCTATTTTTGCTTTTGTTGCCTATGCTTTGGTATCATATCATTGCCAAGACCAATAATTATAAGTCTACATTAAGCTGACAATGGCTTAACTTTAATCACATGCAAAAGCTCTACATTTTACTTCTCCCCTCTCATGCGCTTTATGTCATTGATGTCAAAATTCACTTCTATTTATATTGTGTATCCATTAACGTATGTTACTTACGGTTATTTTAATAATTATGACTTTTATGCTAGAACTAGAAGCGATTTATGGATACCATCCTTATAGTATTCTGTATTTGTCTGTGTATTTCCCTTTACAAATGAGTCTTATACTTTCTTGTTCTATTGTGTTGCTGTTTAGCATCCTTTTATTTCAAGTTGAAGTTCCTTTAGCATCTCATCTAAGGCAGGTCTAGTGGTGATTAACTTCCTCAGCTTTTGCTTGTCTGAGAAGCTCTTTATTTCTGCTTTATTATTGAAGGGTAGTTTTGTCATATACAGTATACTTGGTCGGCAGCTTGTTTTTCCTTAACTGTTTTT